AATACAGAAGTACAATAACACTAGTATTTATAATAAGTGCTAAATATAGTCAAGTATTATCTTCAATCATAATTTTCTATAAGAAAAGTGTTTTTACTACTAAAAAAAACAAGACAACCTGTATGAAGAATCTTGTACAATTTTATGAGTCACATAGAAAAAGAATCACTATTCAACAAGAAGAAAAATCACTAAAAGATAACAGCATGATACTACTCAAAATCCAAATTTTTGGTCTCTATCTGTTCCTGCTAGTTTAAAAAATATCCATCAATTCAAAATGAAAAAAAATGTCCTTGAACCGTACCTCAACAACAGTAACGCTAACTTTAACGTCAGCTTTTGAAACCAAGACAGAATATCAGAAGTCTGAAGATTTAGAAGAATAGCCCACAAGTACCAGCAAGAACTACAGCAAAACTAAAACTGTAAATAAATCAGTAACAACTTTAAAGTTATCAAGCAGAAAAGCACCAACTATTTGTCGACAGTTATTGCAAGATAAATTTGACATTCAAACACATTCACAGAATTTTATCGACAGTTATCTGTCGATAAAAACACTACATTTAAAAAGCTAGTCATTGCACTTTGATGGTAAATGTATTAGTCATCAAGTATATCAAGTGTTAGTGTTTAAGAATAAACAAAAAGAAATTAAGTTACAAGCACTCGATCTACCAGACGAAAAAGCAGATACTGTTGTTAATGGTATAACAGCTATTCTCGATAAATACAACTTATGAAAGAGTGTAAAGATGATTACAGCGGTCACTACGAATGTAAACACTGTAAGAAGGAATGAGATTGTCAGCAGGGCCGATGATATCAGGAGGCCAGTGGTCACTGACCCACCATTTGCTCTGTAAAGGATTTTTTTTTTCAAATATTTAGATATAATGTACTTTTTTAAAAAATTGATAATTTTAACCTCCACTTAAAATCCCGTATCGTCGGCCCTGGTCAGTCAGTTACAAAGACGTTTTACTAAAAAGAAACTGGAAGAACCGCAATTCATTGGTCGTCAACATCCTGTTCTTGAACGAGTCTTTTGCGTATTAATAGATGAAGAACTTTGAGTAAACAACATGTCGCCCAATATCGAACAACCATTTATCGCAGAACTTCAGAAAAACTACAAACAGCTCAGAAAGAAATTCAAAAATGGCAAAGAAATAATTTTTAAAACAGCAGGATAGTGTGGTGATATAAAATTTTTATTTCATTTAAGTTGGGTACTCCATTTTTCTTGAAGAATCTGGAGAATTTTCTAAAGTGAAGCTTCAAAAAATAGCTAAATTAATTAATGCACAAATTCCCTAACAATACTTGCTTTTGAAATTTATTCTTCTACCAGAGAGAATAGATTCAATACTCGACATTTGTAGATTTAACTTTTACATGTGGGTGGACTATTGGTTTACTGACCAAATGTACGACTTAGATGATTTTCTAAAGGTATGTAGCAGCTTGCGCAGTAGCGTAGCGAAGGGCCCGCAGCCGCTGGGAGGCCCAGAGTTATTAGGGGCCCCAAGGCAACAAAAAAACAAAAAAAAGGCAAGGTGGGGGGAGGAAATGGAATAGAAAAGAAGTAATTTAGGGGACCGGATTAAATTTTTGCAGGGGGGCCCAATTTTTTGTCGCTACGCTACTGAGCTTGCACTGTCACGAAAAAACGTAAAACTAAGTGAAAAATGTTTGGAACCATCGAGACTGGAAATTCCTAAAACAAAATCAGGGTGAAGAACAAGCAACCAAGTGTTTTCAAGATCTTTTTGTTGATTTCTAAAAGGAAAGAGAACCTCCAGCTTAGATTTAATTAGTTTAGCAAAGCATAAAAATTTTATATTGCGCTTTAATTATGCTGAATACTACATAATATGATTTTAATATATACAGTAGTTTCTTGTACTTGTAGAATTCTGATTTAAGTTTGTAATTTTATACTTATTTGTGATTTAGAGCGTTATGATGTTATGATGTTATATGTTATGATGTTATATGTTGATGTTATATGATGTTATATGATGTTATGATGTTATGATGTTATGATGTTATATGAAATTGTTAAATGCTTCAAAACTACATAATAACTCACCAATTAAAAAAAATTAGAGTTAAAAAAATAACCATCATAAAATTGTTTGAAATTTTATCTATACGTATATGTGATAAATTCGAATTTTTGGTTTGTGGGTGACTGTTTTCAACAAAAAAACATGGGGTAACAAAAAAGTAAAAGCCCTAATATATATATATATATATATATATATATATATATATATATATATATATATATATTATATATATATATATATATATATATATATATATATATATATATATATATATATATATATATATGTATATATATGTATATATATATATATATATATATATATATATATATATATATATATATATATTATATATATATATATTCTAATGATAGATTTAGCCTTTTCGTTGTTTTTGTGATTAAAGATTTTAAAATAACTTAGCTAAAATAATAACTATTCATTAACAATTTTTGAATTGTTATGTTTTTGAACCGACAACGTTTAAATGTTTGCTTAAGTGTTTATTTTCTCTATACATACTACGTAGCACCTATGCAACGGTAGCATGTGTACACTTATTTTGTGTATTATAAAACCGCATTAAAAAGTTTTGTTTTTTAACTAATTTTTGAAAAAAAGTCTCCTCTAATGGAATTTGAGCAGTTTTTGTTGTAAACAAAATATTTAAGTTTTACCTGAATGTATAACTTACATGCTTTTTAACACACATGCTAACTTTATGAACACAAAAAATGTTTAATAATGAATTAATATTAGTATTGACGAGTTTAGGATATGCCATACACATGAAAATAAAAGAAAATATGGTGCAAAAAATGGTAAACCAATGGATTTTTTTATTATCAAAATAAGCAACATTCCGAAGAGTTTTTTAAATTAATTTGATAAAACATTGTTTAGCATTACAAATCTTGTATATTTGCAAACAACGTTCTGATTTTTTTTTTTTTTTTTTTTGCAACTAAAAAAACGCTAATAAATAAAACCTTAGTGCGATAAAAATAAATGTTTGTCGACAAAAACATGCTCAAAGTTGAGTCTAGATTCAACCGATATTTAATAATTTACTGACTGAAAATTTTATATGTATTTATGTTGTTTTTTATGAAATCATAGTTAAATTTTACATTTTTATTTATTAAATATTTTAATTTATTTAATAAACATCATTGTAAAAAATATTCAACAAGTTTAAAATTTTTTACGTATTTCTCCTTGAAATTAATGTTATATTAAATTTTCGTTAAGGACGCAATGTTAATCCTTCCCTCCCGCAATCTAACAATTATAAAATACTCAATGCTATAAAAAAGTCGCAAAGGATAACTCATTATGCGCATGTAATGTATTCTCTATCAACACTTTTGGTTTTATATGTCAATAATGTATACGTACACATATTTAAAATGATGTATTTAAACTTTTTAAAACATTTGTTATTGAACTGTTTGTATATGTGATTTGAATGTTTCTTATTTTAAACATTTCGAATTTGATCAGTGCATTTGTTTACATTTGTCAATGCATTTTAGCTTGTTGTACATATGCCAAGATTTTTCTTGTTAAATTAGGTTCAGTTTTTTTGTTTAAAAATACATTATTTTAGCATTTGTCAAATATTTAACGAAAAAACGCCATACTATGTTATGCATTTTTCAAAGGTTGATTAATTTATTTTCTTCTATGTTGTTGCAATTTTTACTAGGACACAAATAAATCAGTGTTGTTAAAAAAAAATTTAATTACTTTATTTTAGTTTGTTTTATAAAACTAATATACTAACTATTTATTGCCACTATTTTTTTCTTAGTAAATTTTTTAAAGCATAGTAAATATTCTAAAATGTAAAAATATTTTCCTATCTACATTATATTGATGCTTACTTTTTCATTATTCAGTTTGTATATACTTTTTATACTTTAAAAACCTATTGGATATAGTAAAGAACATCAAGCAACATCAGGTTGTCAATATATCACTAAACTAGACCTATATTTTTCTGGGCAAACTAAACCACTTATAAGAAATCTGTGAAGAATATTCTATGTAACACAAAGAACTCAGTAGAGGTTTAGATAAACTTAAAGATATTTAATTTTACAGGGAACTAACAGAAATTAAATATTACATAGATTTAATATGAAAAAGTTTCAACATTATATTATTTATAAATATTTTTTTAAATAGTTTTTACAATTTTTTTAAAACACTTTGGAAATATAATCTTTTTTTTAAAAAAAAAACACTCAATTTGCATTTATTTGAAAACTGAAAAACTTCATAATACCAATAATATATTTTGATGTTTGATGATGACTTTTTATGCATAAATATCAATATATAAAAAAGTGTACCAGAAGTTAGTAATATATGATGGTTAATAAAATTTTGAAGTATTATCTGACATTACTTGTGACGGTATAAGATATATCTAGGTTTTAAAACTTTTGTTTGACGTAATACTTCTAACAACACTGTTTGATATGGAATATACAAAAGCAATGGAGATAGCAGCATACTTTGAGAAGAAAAACTCCTTTTGCGATTGTAGATATTGGTAGAAAGAGCTCCTGAACTTTATATGGAAATCTTTCTAGTGGTAGTATTAAAATACAAATACTAAGTTCTGCAAAACAATTTAATACCAAGAAGTATATTTAGTTGTAAAATAACTTTTCTCATCCTTAAATGTCTTATTTTAATATAAAATCCCATGTTGAAAACCTATCCAACTAAGCAAGAGTGGAATCATGGGGGTTGAGCTTTACAAATAAATTCAAAATGGTCTATAAATCTTACTTTATTACTTTGAAGTTTGGTACTAGTTGTTTAGTTACGGTTTAATTCTGATAAATTTCATATTAGTAATAATAGATTATAGTAATAAATATTTATTGGCATAATTAAGCAAATTTATATTTAGTTATAATAATAGTAACAATTGGTATACGTACAAAATACTTAGATAAGGATTTTCGCAAAATTTCATAATGCCTGCCTCAACAAAAGGTGGAAGCAAGCAGGTAAACTTACTTTTAATCTTTGTTTTTTCTAATGTAAATATTATAGGTAGTATTTTTGTTTTTAATTTTATTTGTGACTTAATAAAAGTAACTATTGGTTTTATTGGTAACCTACTCAGCTTTAAAGGTTTGTTGAGTCTTAACTTACTCAAATTTAAAGGTTTGTTGAGCCTTAACTTAATGACTCACTTGGTTAATTATGTAATTTAGAGAAACAAATCTTTAACTAATAAAGTATAAACTTTTCTTCTTTAGTTAATCTCTTAAATTCAATCCTAGTTAAGGTTTTTTTAATTTTATACTAAATTTTAAATTCATTTTTGTCATTTTAATTTTCATTAAAATTTAAACTTTTTAAATTTTTTTAAAAAAGCTAGTGAACATAATTTCAATGTAACTAATTTATACATTTACTATTAATCAATTTGATTAAATTTTAATGTTTTACATATTCAAATACCAATTGATTAAAATAAATAGAGAGATTAGCTGAAATACTTAATAAATAATGAATCACTTTAAACATTTTACTTGCTGCAAGTAGGCTTTTAAAAGTTTACAATTGAATTATTTTTGGATTTATAAGCATGGAAAATATCTCACATCAGGTTAGTTTTCTTTTATAGCATGTCATATATAAGTATTTTTAACATCTTCAGTATTTTGATTCAAATAAATCAATTTTTTTTTTTTTATAAAAAAAGAGTTTTATAAAAAAAATATGTTAATTGTTTCAAAATTCAATAATCTTTTTATTGAGTTTATTTTTTTTAAATACTAATGATCTGTTTACTTAAAAATACAATACAGCAAATAAATATATAAACAAACAAACAAAGCTATGACATTATTAGTGTATAGAGTTTAACACTGTTAATACTCTTTTTTTGTTCAATCCTCTTGATACACTTGATACTCTTTTTTTGTTCATTCTGTAATTTTTTGTACTTTATTCCATTCTGTACTGCTGTTATGATCTAGTACATATAATAATTTTGTATCACCTGCATATAATTTGCATTTGTTTTCATTGTTCAATATTATATCATTAATGTATAAAACAAATAATAATACAAGTACTGATCCTAGAAGAACACTACTCAGAACATCATCCATTTAGATATATTTTCGCCAAGTATTACTTGTTATAAACAATCTTTTAGAAACGCTCTGGATCAGTTCAATAAATCACCAATAAAATCATACCTAGCTAATTTTATAGTCATATTTGTATGTAATTCTTTATATAATCAATTTAATTGTACAATATCATTATAACTTTTTTTTATTATATTATAATATAAATAGTTTTTTACCTCGGCCTAATTTTTTTTTTTAATATAAAACCTGGTATATGAGTGTGTATTTATATGTGTGGGTTTGTGACCAGAGCTGCTTAAACATTGGTTGACTTTTTAAAAAATTATTATTAAAGGCTACAAGAAATTTAAAATCTTAAATGAATTATATATATATATATATATATATATATATATATATATATATATATATATATATATATATATATATATATATATACACACATATATATAGGACTCAAAATGTCTTATTTTGTTCTGGACAATGTCTCGATAAAATTCAACAAAAATTTTATAAAATAAATTTAAATCCGAGAGCTAAAATTTTTTTTGAAATCTCTAAAAGCTATTGAACAAATAGTTAAATAAATTTTAAACTATGATTTAAATTTAAATTAATAATAGTTTGTTGTAATATTTTAACATATAGTATAAAAATCTAGCTGCTCAATTCATGAAAATTAATGCTTTTGTGTCTTATAAAAAATAAATTAGATTTAAAAATATGACGTATTTTATTAAGGTAACTGTGTGTTCAACTTCATTTTCTATTTGATATAAAATATAAAAAGTTCAAAAAATGAAGTTTATATACTATACTAAATTTACTAATAATTTTGGATCACCTAAAATAATTATAAAATAAATGCTCATATAATACACAGACTTGGTCAGGAAGCAGGAGGGATTGCTCTTGATTACTGACCATAGAAATTATATTTAGTTGCGTAAAACTGGCTAGATTTTTATGTTGTTTGGAGAACATTTCAAAAAACAAAACAAAAAAGCGCAAAAAAATTAAATAGACCGATGAGTGACAACTAGGAAAAGAAAATAACTTTTAATGCAAAAAAACTTAAAGCAAAATAAATTATGTTTAGAACAAATATTTTCGAAACATCGCTCTTTTATAATTTTTTTTATAAAATAAAGTGTTATTTTTTATATAAAGTAACATCTTACGATTGCTTAATAAAGAAACAAATATTCTTTTATTTATCAAAGAGTATAGTATAATTTTTATTTATATATATGTGTCTTATTTCCTGTGCTGGATTAAGAAGAATTGGGGTTAGAGGGGGCACAATAAAAAGGCCTCCAAATTAAAAAATAGCCCCGACCCTGAAAAGTCCAACAAGATTCTAATAAAACTAACGCTAATTTTAGTTTTATTTATGCTAAATTATTTTGTAAATATAAATTTTAATTTTTTTAATAACTATTTTATGCTTCACGTAGTTTAAAAAGTTTAATAAATTTGAAACAATTCTTATTGAGTTACTGTAGAATTTAAATTAACTAGATAGAAATCAACTAAAAAGGTTAAAAATACTTTATGAAGAGGAAGTGGAACTGCTTCACAATACCGCTAATGATGTTTAGTGAGTGGGGTTTTTAATTTTAATTACTATTTAAAACAGGAAAAAGTATATAAGTAGAAAAGGGGTCCAAATTTACACTGAAAGTTTCAACATTTATCAGTTACTAGTATATTTTTTAATTCTTAAGGCCGATTTTCACCTCAATTTTTTTTTTAGTTTTAAGAAATAATTTTTTTGTTGATAACAAGTAAAAATTAATAAATGGGAGGGGAAGGGCCTAATAAGCTTAGAGTGGATATGAAAATTTTATAAACATTATTTATATAATAAAATTAAATCTATAATATATAATAAACTTTCAAAATTTTGACAGTTTAAAAAATATATAATTAATACATTTATTTTTGTAAACAAATAGTTTAAAAGATTTACGGCTTTGCAGATGTGGCTCCGAGAATGGGCGGTAGTATTATAGTAATAGTTCATTTGATAATATTTTCTTAAAACAATTTATGCTAGAAATCTCAAAACTAAACAAATCTTGGTTAATACAATTTTTTAAACATAGCAGAATACTCTAGAACTTTATTTTGCTTAGTCAGCGTATTTTAGGAACCAATGGAATTAGTTTGTAGATTTGGCAGGTTTTTTAGTGTTCATGAATATTCTTTTTATTCTTCCGCACCAAGATGTTTTGAGAACATTGAGAGTCTGTAAAACAAAATTTTTTTTCTTTTACAGGCATACATAAACTTAAATGTTCACAAAATGACTTAAAAATCTGGCAGTTTTGTGCAACTAAATATTATTTTGGTCAGTAAGCGAGAGGGATTGCTCCTGTTTCCCGACCAAGCCTAAATATAGGCTTGGCCTGGAAGTCTTTGTTTTAAGAATTTTACCATGGTTTTAAACATTTTAAAAGTGCGCTGGTTTTAAATTATGTTAAAAATAAATCTTCGACAAAAAAACTTCGACACATTTATCTTTAGTAACATTTTTAGATTAGCAAAATGCTTTTAAATAAAATAGCTAATAGTTTCAATTAAAGTAATAATGTATCAATGTAATTTATATGAATTTTTATTTATATTATTAATTATATAAGATTTTTTATAATAAATGTAATTTTAAAAAATGATTGTCTCTTTAATAAACTTTATATAAAAAACATTAAGGGAAAAGAAGAAATGTGTTGTTGATAAGAAAGGAAAAAAAAAACTGTTTTTGAAACCCGTTTGAATTAAATAACTTTGATTTTTACTTTAGTTTTTATATTATTGAAAAGCATTTAAATAGAGTAATAAATCACTGCTAATAAATTTTTAATATATAAAGTATCAATGAATATCATATGTTTTTTTATAGTTATTCAAGTTTAATTTTTATTATAAATGTCTTTATGTAAAAAATATTATAACCATAATTTTAAGTGCTTATTTAAGAAAATTATTATAGATTTTATTTTTTGATTTAAAAGATTTTAGCCTAAGTAAAACACCTGTTTTATAAGTTAAAGTTATATGTATTTTTATAAACAGAGTGAAGATAGTATTTTTTTCAACTTGTATTTTGCCAGTTTGCATCATTAAGTCAAAACTGCCTTTCGAACTTATGTCTGTTTCCAGTATACCTATGTGCATTTCAATAAACCAGGTTGGAACCTTCAAAATAAGAGTCGTTGAATATTTGGTGAGACAAAACCACTATTTGTGACAACTCTCATTATAATAGTACATGCTTTTGTTTTTAATTGAAAAAAACAATAATAAAAGATTAAAAAGTTAAATCTAATGAAAAGATTAAAAGATTTTAATATTTTCACTCAACTAAATTGACTTTTAGTTGATTAGTAGGAAGACCTTAGTCGATTAAATCGACTATTCATTTTTTTATTAGTCAATCAATTTTGACTCCTGACTTGTCGACTTTTAGTTAAAGTGGATAACAACACTAATTTTTTCTTCTGTTTATGTTGCTGCAAAGAGTTCTTAAGAATCTTTTTTTTTACTTTTAAATGTGTGCATTTATTAAACAATCCTTAGATATAAGTTGTTACTTTATTTAAAAGGGTTTTGCATAATATTATATAATAAAAACATTAGTAAAGATAAACAATCCAAAGTTATTTATTCCAAACGTAATTTAAATAATCTTATCGTTATCGTTTATTATTTATTTTAATTTTTTGATTTTAGTTTTAGTTAAGTTTTTATTTTATTTTATTTTCACAAAGATTTATTTGCTTCTTTAATGATAAGCTTTTTCTAAGTTAAGTTATTGTTAAGTTAAGATTTTTTTAGGGCATTTTTAAAATGTGTACAAGTTTTCAAAATCAAATAATATTTGCATGGTCATATTC